GAGTTTTAATCTCCATTAAGGATCCTCCCGAGCCGGAGGACGACCTACAGAGGCCCTTGTGGTGTGAGTGGAAGAGGCCACCAGCAAAAAACTGACAAATTCTGATCCACAGATTCCCAGACAATTGGCTACAGAACGCGACCTGCACGTCTTGGAAAAGATGAGTTGCACAGAATCGTCTCCAATCCCAGGTAAGGACACTGGGCTTTTGTAACCCAGAGCAGTCGTCCCCAGGGGGTTCAGAGATGCCTGGAGTGTTGCTGCAACTTGCAGCCCCTGCTCTGATGTCAGGAGGTGTGAGGGCCACCTCGCTGGGGGATCCTGCCACACGTGTTTCTCTCCTCTTCTGACTACCCCAGGCTTTTCCCCACTCCGCTCTCCCTGTTGTGGTAACTTGATGATTGCGGCTGTATTGCACCAGTATTTGTGATTTTATTTTACCTCCTTTGATGGCATGTTCCACATTTTTAAACCTTTTTGTTTGGGAATAATTTTATATTTATAGAAAAGTTGCCAAGACGGTACCAAGAGATCCCATGCACCCTTCACCCAGCGCCCCCTAATGTCTGCAGCTCCCCTTGGTCAAAACTAAGAAGTATGGGGCTGGGGCTCAGCAGTAGGCACTTGTCTGGCATGTGTGAGGCACTGGGTTCAGTTCTCAGCACCACATATAAATACATAAATAAAATAAGGATCTGTCAACAACTAAAAACAAAAATTAAAGAAACACACAAACTAAGTAAACTTCATGGTGCTGTTAATGAAACTCTAGACAGAGATTCATTGGCCTCTCCCTAATAACGTTGTGAGAGTAAAAGCAAAGGTGACTCCATTTTGTTTTGTGACTCCATCCTGTAAAACAACCAGGCCAAGGAGAAGGGTCGTGACTGGGGCAAGATGTTCTTTTCCTTTTGCTATAGAAACCTTTAAGAACACGGGACTACCTAATGGGGCATTGTTTCTGTAACTAGGGTAACAGGCTCTGTTTCTGTAACTGGGGTGACTGGGCTAACTGTGATTGCTTAGGCTTCCCTCCGCCTGACTGCACTCTCCTGCTTCTGTAACCTGGCTGGCTTGCATTGGCTGGACCCCCCGAACATCCCTATTGCGGTTTTCAGGCTTATAAGGAGGGCCCTTGCAATTGTTGGGGGCTGATCAGGGGAACAGCTTTCTGTTCTGGTCAGTCACCACTGGTGTGCTTCAATAAAGGCTTGATTCCATTATACATGAGTGGTCTGGATGTCAGTTTAGGAAACCCCGTGACGAAGCTTTAACTATAACATCGTGTTGGTTTCCAGGTCCAAACCAGGAACTCCCCGCGCATTTAGAAGAGGATGTCTCCCCAGCCATGAGTACTCACTTTCTCTCTTTCACGAGTTATGCGGGGTTTTAGGGTTTGTTATTTTGTTTTTCAGTACTGGGGACCAGACCCAGGGCCTCATGCATGCTAGGCAAGCACCTACCACTGAGCTGACCCCAGCCCTTCAAGTTGTGTGTTCAGCGTCCTTGAAAAATGAGTTCCTAATTAGCTTCCATTTAAATCGGCATTCTGTGGATCTTCCAGTTCCCACATAGAAGAAACCCACCCAATTCTATTTCTTCGAAAGAAAAAAGTCCACTCAGCATCTCCTCCAGGGTAGGAGGGGAATTTCTTCTGTAAAGTTCCAGTAGTAAATTATTTCAGGCCTCAGACCGTGTGGTCTATGACAGAACTGCACAACTTAATTCTTGTACCACTTATGGGTTGCAGTCGCTGCACGATTCTGTCTTCTGTGGTGCTGGGGTTGGAGCCTAGGGACTTCCCGGGTGAGGCAAGTGCTCCACCACTGAGCTGCCCTGGCCCTGCTGTTGCGTTTGGTGATAAATGGGTGCAACGTTGTACCAATAAGACGTTATCTGTAAAAACGAGAGGCAGACCACACCTGGACTGTGGCCAGTTTTCCAATCGCGCTCTCGGGCAGCTGATCTGCACAGGCTATCAGAGAATCCTAAATACTGTTCTGGTCCTACCCAGAGAGATTCTGGGGAGTCCGGGAATTTGAGTGCTAAAAGCTCCTGTGTGGGGCTGACGTGTGGGTGAGACGGAATCTCAGCTCCAGGTAGGTGCGTCTTACCTAGGGCTGGGACACCGTCAGCTCCCTGCTCCTGTTTAGCAGGAAGACCTCTTCCAGCCAATGGGAAGTCTCAATTTCCCATGTGACATTCTGTAGGGCCTGGGGCTTCCGCTGAGCAGATACTTGGTACCAGCTGGTCTTTTCCTCTTCCCTTAATCTTTATTTCTACTTTGTCTCCATTACCCTGTCTTCATTCTTTCTATAGAACACTTTTAAAAGTTAGAATGTTCCAAATATGATCATTTCAACATGTAAATCATATAAAAATTATTTAAATTATTTAAATGGGGGCATTATAATTACACAATAGTGGGATACGTTGTGACATTTGTAGGTGCACCTACCACAACCCGCCAGTTTGTTTCCAGTCCCTCCCCTGCCCTCTCCTCCCACCTCCTGGTTCCCCACCACCCCTCACCTGGTTCTCTTCCAGTCCCGCCCCCTGGTTTTCTCCCCCCCTTCCCCCCCTTCTCTTCCCACCCCTGCCCCCTGGTTCTCTCCCCCCCCTTCTCTTCCAGTCCCGCCCCCCTGGTTCTCTTCCAGTCCCGCCCCCTGGTTCTCTTCCCCCCACCCCCTGGTTCTCTTCCCGACCCCCCCCAACCCCCCTTCTCTTCCCCCACCCCCTGTTTCTCTTCCAGTCCCGCCCCCTGCTTCTCTCCCGCCCCCCTTCTCCCCCCTTCTCTTCCCCCTCCCCCCCCCCCCCCCCGCCCCCTGGTTCTCTTCCTCCCTGTAGAACGCTCCCTAATCTCCAGACGTGCAGGTTCTTTGCACGGTGGCCAGCGGGCTGCTTTGCTGCCCTTGTCCCAGTCCATCTCTCATTGAGCTACCTGATGCCTCCCCAGGCCCTGCAGGCGGCCTCTCTCGCAGGGGGCCGCTCCTGTGATTCTCTCAGTCCCAGGGTAAGTTCAACTCTTCCCCATCAAACCCCGCTGGTGTGTGCCTCCTCTGCCCTCTGTGCTCAGCCGCCTGCACCTCCCCAGGCCCAGGTCACAGTCCCTCTCTGTGAAAGTGGAGAGGACCCCTGAGGCCTTTTCTCCTTGCGCCGAGCCTGGTGTTGAGTGGCATGTGCATTCCCTCCTGGCTCCCTCTAGAGTAGGGCGCCACGGAACCCTGAAACGGGGTTCCTCCGGCTCTGATCTTCAGCAGTCATGAACCCCGTGCTGGGGGCTCAGTGATGGGCTCTGGTGCCACAGTGACACTGCCCCCAACTGTGTATCAGGTGTCCCTGGAGCCTGGATTAGCTGCTGTATAAAGGCTGGAGGGAGCAGCTTTGGTCCTCCCGTTTGCGCCATGGTGAAGCATCAGAAGCCGGCGCCAGGTGAGGGGACCTCCCAGCACCTCCCTCTTGGACTTTCTGGCCTCCAGAACTGAGAAGGTCCCATTCTGTATCAATCACTGAGCCTCGGGTATCATGGCACAGCAACAGGAGGGGATCGGACCCCCAGAGCCGGATTCAAGATGTCTTCCTGGTGTGCGTTTCAGGGGTCCTGTGACAAAAAGCCCCACTGCCCTCACTTTCAGAGCTCCCTGGGCCCCAGACTCTGGAAACCTCTGCAGGAGAACAAAGATGACTCCAGGGAGCAATGGGCTGGGATCATGTTACCGGGGGCTGGGGCGGCGTGATAAGTGACAGCCCAGGCTCCGGTGCTCTCTGCCGCCACCGTCCACAGTTGATGGTGTCCCCTGTGTGTCATGGGGCTTGGTTCCTCATCAAACCAAGAGGCCTCATGAGAGCGGGAACCCAGCCTCCTGGAAGCCCAGCAGTGCCGAGCCTGTGCTTCTGGTGGCTACTGAGGTGCTGGTCTCCTCTGCGCGGGCTGCCAGCGCCGAACACCGCGGACCCGGTGCCTTCTGCAAAAGCTATTTTCTCACCATTCTGGGGGCTGGATGTGCCAGATCAAGGTCTGCGGGCTGGCCTCTCCTCGTCTTGCAGGAGAGCTGCCTTCTCTGTGTGCCTCCTGGGCCCCTTGTTACCAGGACACACGTCCCGTCGGCCTCATTTGTCCTCCACGGCTTCTCGTCTTCAGAGTGTTGGGGTTAGGGCTTCAGGGTCAACCCCTGGTGCACAGAGTTCAGTCCGTGGTGCCTGCTGTAGACTTCTGATTTTTCTCCTGGTTAATTAGCATGTTTTCCGGCAGTTCGGTGGTTCTACAAGAATAGAATCACGTCTAACTCGGCAATTCTCCTAGGTATATGTGCAAAAGGGTTGAAGATGGGTATTGAAACAAGAAAATGTGAGAGTGTACGTTGGCAGCATGAGTCACAATTCCCAGAAGGTAGGCACAACCAGATGTCCCCCGTGGGTGAGTGGACGAATGAAATCCCTGTCCATGCCATGGGCATTCCCCGCCACAGAGGGCAGGACACTGCAGCTTGGAAGGGCAGCCAGCGCTGTTCAGGGAAGGGAGTCACAGAAGGCCATTCCCTCAGGAGCCTGTTTATATAAAACTCCCCAAATAAATCCAGAGACGAGATGAGGGTCAGTATGTACCAGGAACTGGGGAGGGGTGATGGGTGGTTCTAGGTGTGAGGGATCGGAAGGAGTTTGGGAACAGACGGTGGTGATGGTCTCGACACTGTGGAAGTACCAATTGTACACGTTTCCATCTTTCGTGGTGCTGGGGACTGAACCCCAAGTCCCCTGCTGAGCTGTCCCTCCAACCTGAAAGTGGTCAGTCCTTGTGCATTTTGCCACAATAAAGCAGACCCCCGTCCCGGAGGCCTTCTTTGCCTCCTTTGACTGTTGGTGCAGGAGAACCCATGGCCCCGCAGTCCAGCTTCTTCTGTGTGTTACAGAGGATGCCCAGGGGCTCACAATGGAGCACACCATGCTGCGAGACCTGGAGGAGTCCTTGCAGAAAGAGGCAGGTGGGTGAACTCCCTCTGATGCCACAAATTTGGTGTTTGAGGGCACACAAGGTAAATCGCCTTCCTGGCTTTTCTTGTTCCTGGCATTTTATGTTTTTCAGGAGAGGAGGAGGATGGGAAGCCCAGCGTTCTCAAGGATAAGCCTGCTTCAGCCTGGAAAAGTACATTTTGGCCTGAAGACAGTGACATTTTCTACGACGTCACCCAGAGAAACCAGAAGCTGATACCATTCTTGAGTCCACTTATGGGCCCTGAGGCCAGGCCGCACACAGTGGTGCTGCACGGTGCTGCAGGCGTTGGGAAGACCACGCAGGCCAAGAGGACTTTGCTGGACTGGTCGGAGTTCAGTCAGAGTCCTCTGCACTGCGCCTTCTACCTCAGCTGCAGGGAGCTCAACCGCATGATCCCATGCAGCTTCGCAGAGCTGATCTGCAGGGACTGCCCCGAGATGCAGGACGTCGTGCTGGAGGTCCTGACCCGAGCAGAGAACGTCCTGTTCGTGGTGGATGGCTTCGAGGAGCTGAAGGTGCCTGCAGGGGTGCTGATCCATGACATCTGTAGTGACTGGAACCAGAAGAAGCCAGTGCCCGTCCTGCTGAGCAGCTTGCTGAAGAGGAAGATGGTGGCCAAGGCCACCCTGCTGGTCACCACGCGGCCCGAGGCCCTGCGGGAGCTCCTGCTCCTTGTGGAACAGCCGCTGCTGGTGGAGGTGGAGGGCTTCTCGGAGGCCGACAGGGAGCTGTTCTTCCTGAGACACCTTGAGGACACGGACCAGGCCCGGCGAGCTCTGGACACCGTGAAGCACAGCCCAGCCCTGTTCCACCTGGGCACTGCGCCCGCCGTGTGCCAGCTGCTCTGCGCAAGTCTAAAGCTCCTGATGGACAGCGGAGAGGACCCTGGCTTGGCTTGCCAGACCACCACATCACTGTTCCTGAGGTTCCTCTGTGACCAGTTCCCGCCAGCGCCCGGCGGCCATCCCCAGCACCACCTGCGACGCCCTCTGAAGGCCCTGTGTCTCCTGGCTGCCCGGGGCCTGTGGACCCGGGTGTCCCTGTTCGACACAGAAGACCTGGAGCCACTTGAGGTGGAAGAGGCCGACCTCCGTCCCTTCCTGGACAAGCATGTCCTCCAGAGGGACAGGGACCACGAGGACTGCTTCTCCTTCATCCACCTCAGCATGCAGCAGTTCCTGGCGGCCGCCTTCTACATCCTGCGGTTCCCGGGGGACAGCGAGTGGCCGGGCTCCAGGTTGGACATCAGGGGTGTGCAGGAGCTGTTCTCCACGGAGGCCAGAGCAAGGAATCCCCAGCTGGCCCAGGCCGGCCGCTTCCTGTGGGGCCTCCTGAACGGGGCCAGGGCCAGGGAGCTGGAGGCCACTTTCGGCTGCCAGGCGTCCTTGGAGGCCGGGCAGGAGCTGCTGAAGCGCACGTCGGAGGAGGAGGAGCCCGTGCTGTGGGCAGTGGGCCTTCTGGAGGTCTTGCACTGCCTCTACGAGTCTCGGGACCCAGAGCTGGTGAGCAAAGCCACAGCCACTCTGAAGGACGCATCCCTGCAGCTGGCCACCAGCCAGGACCTCCTGAGCTGCTCCTTCTGCCTCCGGCAGTGCCAGGACCTGCAGAGGCTCTCGCTGCGGGTGGCCAAGGGGGTGCTCCCGGAGGAGGAGATGGCGGCGCTGGAGCTGGATGCTCTGGACGGAAGGTGAGTGCCCTGCCACGGTCCACTGGGCCTCCAGGGAAGGAGGCCAGAGCCTCCTGTTTAACCCTGGAGGGGGGAAGCACGACACTGTGGCTCTTCTCTGGAGGTGAGCCATCATGGCCAAGGGGGCGACCTGCGTGGGTGGGCTGCAGGAGGTGAGGGAGGATCACCATGCTCTGGCCCTACCATGGGGAGGGCTAGTTAATCCCACGTTCAGGAGAGGCCACCCCATCAGGACCAGGGAGGCCTTCTTCACCTGCTCGCCACTGTCTGACCAGTGATGGCCTCGGCCAGCCACAACTGGGGCACCTCCGTGGGTTCATGTGAGGGCAGCCGAGCTCCGTGGGCTCCCAGCTACAGCTTGGTTCTCCTTTAGGGCTCACACGTGTTTGTGGATCTGTGCGCCCAGCGTGGTGCGTCTAGAGGAGCCTGCCGGGTGCTCTCCCCAGACCCCGCCCACAGCCTTCCCCAGACCCCGCCCACAGCCTTCCCCAGACCCCGCCCACAGCCTTCCCCAGACCCCGCCCACAGCCTTCCCCAGACCCCGCCCACAGCCTTCCCCAGACCCCACCCACAGCCTTCCACAGATCCCACCCACAGCCTTCCACAGCCTTCCCCAGACCCCGCCCACAGCCTTCCACAGATCCCACCCACAGCCTTCCACAGCCTTCCCCAGACCCCGCCCACAGCCTTCCACAGATCCCACCCACAGCCTTCCACAGCCTCCACCCACAGCCTTCCACAGCCTTCCCCAGACCCCGCCCACAGCCTTCCACAGATCCCACCCACAGCCTTCCACAGCCTTCCCCAGACCCCGCCCACAGCCTTCCCCAGACCCCGCCCACAGCCTTCCCCAGACCCCGCCCACAGCCTTCCCCAGACCCCAGAGATCGCTGTGCTGCCCCTGGGGGCCCCTATGCCACACATAGGAGAGGACATGCCATCCTGACTTCTGGTCTGCCTCTCATCCTTAACTGCTCTCTGGCTCCATTGGTTCAGTTGCAAATGGTAGGATGACTCCTCCCTCGTAGCTGAGCGACCTGTTGTGTGCATGGACCTCTGTGGCTTTACCCGCCCACCACAGTGAGCACCAGGGCCCTCTTGAGCAGTGCTGCGGCATCCCCATGCCGTTCCCTATGGTCCTCTGGGTTCAGAGGACATCTGGCTTCAGAACACCATGCCTGGCTGGGCATAGGGTTCGAGTCTCCTGGGTCATAATGTCCTGCGGTCACACTCCGAAGTCACTGCCTGCTGGTGTGGGGCGTTGCCTCTTGCGCCCACCCTGGTTCTGTCACCTTGCCGCCACCTCACTTTTAGGTTGGCACCTAAAATCAGTCTCTGGAATGGTTAGACACAGGGTTGGAACCAACGCGTGCTTCCCTGGGGTCAGAGGTGGTGCCCCTCCAGAATGCTCCCTTTGACCTGGAGTCGGCTCAGCTGAGCCTGGCCTTGAGGGACCTGGAGCTCCGACCCCGAGTGGCGTGGGCAGGTCTCCCCTCCCAAGTCTCCCCTCCCAAGTCGGCACCTGCGTGGGCCGTGAACACTGAGCCTGCAGCTGTCCACGTACCCCGCGGGCAGGAGCCGTTCCCTTGCACTGCTCTCTGGCTCTTCTGCTCGTCCCATCCGACAGGCCTGCTCTTGGCTCTGAGAGCCTTTGCGTCTAGACCACTGTCTGAGTTCCAAGTGTTCGGTCCCCCGCCAAACCCCGTGGGCTCTGATGCACTGTGGCTTCAGGGGCGCTCTCTCCTTGAAGTCAAAATCCTATTTTTGTGATTCCAAAGATACCGTGCATATGCAGGGAAATTAAAGCAGGACTGGGATCGCAGACACCATGTCCCTCCCCGTCCTGCCGTCCGCGGCAGCACAGGAGGAGAGGAACCGCCTTTGAAAACCGAGCACTTGGAGATGAATCTAGTGGCAGGTTGTTTTCTCCAGTGTTTTTTGTGTTTTTATGGTTGTAGAGGGACAGAATGCCTTTGCTTTTGTCTTTAAGTGTGCTAAGGATCAAACCCAGTCCTCACGCGTGCTTGGAAAGCACTGTACCACTGAGTACACTCTGCTCTGAGCGACGGCTGCAGCCCGTTTTAGAGTTTTAGTTGAACGAATGAATTAGCTTGAGAAATGGCCAAATCGTCCTCTGTGGATGTCAATCAGGTGTTCAAGTGTCCCGTATTGGACAAGGGGGTCGCCATCAGTCCTTCACCAGCAGGACCCTAGGCTTTCCCTCCTATAGTGAATGGTGACGTGGGACATGCAAGCTCTCCCCCCATGGTGCCTCTAGGGTGGGTGCTCTCACGGGGTGCTCAACGACTAATAAATCACGTGTCAAGGGGGAACACCTAGAGTGACCCTGAACACCTTGACTGTGAAGGACAGATGTCTATTTTTCTCCTTCGTGACATTGGGTCGGTGACTTTTTCCTTCTCTCGGGTAGGTCCCAGAGTTATCAGGACCTACATCTTTCCTGGAGCGAGCTCTGCTCTGTGTTCAGCTCCAACAAGAGCCTGGTCTTCCTGGACATCAGCCACAGCTTCCTGAGCAGACAGTTTGTGAGGACGCTCTGTGACCAGCTGGCCTCTGCAAACTGCTGTCTCCAGAAAGTGATGTAAGTCCTCTGTCCCAGGCTAACATCCCAAGGGGCACAGCCAAGCTTCTTACTGTTGGATGTTGGAGGAATATTCAAATTCCTGTCCCAGACTCCAACCAGGCACCGAGATGCAAGGGGCCGAGATGCTCCTGTCCTTGGAGAGTACAGTGGGAAGATCCCATAAAGCCAGGTTAATGCCATGTGCAATGTCACCTGGGCATTCCTCCAAAGGGCAGGAGGAAGAGAACGTGCAGACCCCTCGTGCTGTTGGTCTACCGTGAGCCCCGGTGGCCACACATACAGCACATCTCGGCCTCTGCCGACACCCAGGGCTGGGCTTCTTTGTTGGAAGGAGGGGCTGCCTGTTGCGCTGTAGGACACTGAGCAGCGTCCCTGACCTCCACCTGCTACATTCCAGCAGCATCCTCTCCCCAGACGGTGACAACCAAAACTGTCCCCAGATGTCACCCAGTGTCCCGGGATGCTGAATCTCACCAGGCTGGTACCCGCAGATGGGGGGGGGGGAGCGCAGGCCCGAGAGCTGAGTGCAAGTTATGCAGGTGGGGAACGGTACCTACGTGGCATAAGTACTGCCATTCAGAGTGACATGTGCCCTCCAGAGCATCCCTGGGCCAAGTCGCGGCCGAGGGACGGAAGTCTTACAGGTCTACACCTGGTAGGCGGTGTGGGGCAGGGGACCGCACAGCCTGCTCACCAGGTGGCCAGTCGGAAGCTCTCGGCTTAGCTAGGACGTCCTCAAGTGGCATCATGTTTTTCTTTCTTGATGGAGGGAAATAGGAGCCCTTGCCCACTAAGGACTGCGCTGGCCACATGGTCCCGATTCTAGACACAAGAGAATTCCAGAGTCGAATCCTGCAATGACCTTCTGTGTCTGACCCTCCTCCAACAGCCTAAGGTGGCTAAAGGAACTAGAAGTCAGCATCTGAGATGCTGGTCAAGGGGCAGAGTCTGTTATGAGAGATGGCTGCAAGCCAGACACCTCCTGACGGCAATGTGAATTTAGTTCATACTGTATCATGCCCTCAAAATCTGCTGAGAGGGTATCTCGAAAGTCTTCTCACCCCCAGACACAGAAAATGGTCAGTGTGAGATGATTGGTATGTTAATTAGCTTGATGGGGCAATTACTTTACATAACGTTCCTATATCAAAACATGGTTGTGCACCTTAAACATTATATAATTTTTGTCAATGATGCCCCAAAGATGGGATTGGGGATTGAACCCAGGGCCTTGCACACGCCAGGCAAGTGCCCTACCACTGGTCACACCCCAGCCCTTCTTATTTGGAGACGGTCTCACAAAGTTGCCAAGGCTAGCCTCAAACTTGCCATCTTCCTGCCTCAGCCTTCCAAGTCGCTGGGACTAGGGGGTATTTTTTAACGTGAAAGAAAGGTTCCAAAATGTCGCCATCCTGCAACTCTGTTTCTGTTCATGTGCAGAAGGATAGAACTCAAAGCCTCATCTTTGTTTTCTGTTCCTTAGCCTCAAAAACATTTCCCCGGCTGGTGCTTATCAGAACCTCTGCCTCGCTTTCGGAGGACACAAGACCCTGACACATCTGACCCTTGAAGGCAGTGAGCTGGACGATGTGCTTTCCTCCTTGCGTCAGGTTTTGAGTCACTGGAGATGCAAGCTGCAATGTCTCAGGTGTCTCTCTCTGTCACCAAGACCCCTCCTGGCACAGAGCTCTCGCAACCTGGGCTGCAAATCTGCATAAATTGGAAGAAAACCTTCCTTCTTTTAACTGGAAATGGCAGCACCCGGGGTGCATTGGCCAGAATAGCACATGGGCTGGAGTTCCGTCTGCTCCGGCCTTGAACACTGAGTAACCTGAACCACCACACAGGGAAGCCCCCAGTCCCAAGGGCTACCCAGAATCTGGAGAGCATCCTGTCAGGCCACTGGGGGTTCACGTTCCTCCTGGGTCACGAGGCCAAAGGCCTCCCCTGTCCAGGCAAGGACCCCAGGGCCCCAGGCTGTCCTCTCCTGCAGCACTCTGGAGATCTGCCTTGGGAAGTTCTCTGCAGGGTTGTGCTGGTGTTGGCCACCCCCACCTGGAGTGGCAGCAGGGACAGTCTACAGTGGGCATTAGCCTCTGCTGAGGGAGGGGTTGCTGGGCTCTTCAACAAAGCAAAATGGGGCAGCCAGCCCGTCACCAGGGCAGAGGGCAGGGGAAACCAGGTCCCAGCACATGCGCTTGATGGCCATCGCCACTGGCCATTGCAAAGGACCCTCCTTGCCTCCTCCTGGGAGCGTCAACAAGGACAGAGTCGTGTGGCTAGAGACCTGGGTCACTGGCTGATTTTTGGCCAGGAAGTTGGTACCCAAATCGGAGGCCCATAGGAGGCCACGCGAGCCCAGCCTCCTGTCCCTCCGGAGGCACCTGACCTTGCACCTGGCTCCCCCGCTCCTTGGTCTCCTGCTGTGACTTGGGCTCTGAGAGAAGGTCTTCTGCTGTTCCTCTCGAGTTTTCTAGTCACTTCAGCCATGTGGCAGGCACCCCACTTGGGCCCCAGTTGGGGTACCGACCTGTGACCCTCAGCGTGAGGACACTCTTGGCTCCGATTCGCGGGTGCCAGAGGGAGATGGCGTTCGCACACATACTCCACAGAAGAGCCAGGCCCAGGCCTGATGCCAAGGGCTCCTCCTGCCCACAGTCGGGAGCAGAACAAGCCCAGGGTTTCTGAATGTCGTTCTAGACCTGTGGTCCAGCCAGAGGCTACTGTGTCTCCTGGGAACTGCTGAAGTGCGGATTCCTGGGTCCTGTCCCAGGTGGTCTGAATCGCATCCTGTGGACGTGGCACAGGAATTAACACCTCCCCTAGGGGACACTGGACTCTGCATCAGAGCCGGGCGGGGTGATGCAGACCTGCATTTCTTGCTGGCTCCCAGAAGGTTTGGGCTGCTGGCCCTGGGGAACCGTGACAGCCAGGGCGCTGGACCGCACGGGCTTTGGGGCACTGGCACAGCCGAGTGCCAGACCGGAGGCCATCCCACCGAGCTTGGATTCTCGGGAATGACGGGCTCCGTCTCCCCCACAGGCTGGGGCCCTGCTGTGCCCCTGTACCAGAGTGGGCGGACCTCTTCCTGACCCTCCAGTTCAATCACTCCCTGACGTGCCTGGACCTCTCCGACAGCGAGCTCCTGGACGAGGGCGCCAAGCTGCTGTGCGCAGGGCTGAGATACCCCACGTGCCCCGTGCAGAGGCTGTCGTAAGTCTCCCCCCTCCTGGGTGTCCTGTGGGGTCTGGGGACTCAGGGGAAGAACGGTGGCCCTGGACATGCAGGCAGCCCTGTGGAACCACCCTGTGACCCTACGCCCGTTTCCGTCTCTGGTCCAGGTGAACAGTTCCAGCATCTCACTGTTGTTCTTCCCGTCCCCACGGGGTCACCAGCAGGGTGGGAAGAGGACGAGGAACTGAGACGGGCTTTGGGGACCCCCTGTTTGGAGACGGCTGGGAAGACTGGTGTGGGGTGCTCTGCTCACTGCCCTTTCCTGTGGCTCCTGCAGGTTGGAGAACTGTCAACTCACGGAAGCCTGTTGCAAGGAAGTGTCTGTCACTCTGGTCGTCAGCCAGAGGCTGACACACCTGTGCCTGGCCAAGAACGACCTCGGGGATGAGGGGGTGAAGACCCTGTGTGAGGGCTTGCGCTACCCCTCCTGCCAGCTGCAGGCGCTGGTGTAAGTCCTGGGGCTGCCGCGTGCGTGAGGCCCGCGGGTCGCTGTGCATGAGGCCCGAGGGGCTGCTGGCAGCAGACAACTCCTCAGAACTCCCAAGTATGACCTAGCAGTTATAACTGGCGAGACCAGGGAGATGGTGACAAAGAAAACTGGTGCCAGCCAGGGACATAGGTCAGGGAGGGACGCACCCTTAGCCTGTGTGAGGCCCTGCGTGTGGTCCCAGCACAGAGTGTCACTGTTACACGGGCCCTGCGGGGTGTGGTGGGTGCCCAGGTCTGGTGTTTAGAACCGAGTCACAGAGGCCACATGCAACTGGGCACAGTGGAAGTCATCTGACGCCAAGGACAAAGCCTTAGAGAGGAAAGGGGCTGCCAGGTCCGGGCACACGCCTGTCGTCCCAGCAACCCTGGGCGGAGACACAGGATTGCAAGCCCCAAGCCAGCCTGGGCAACTTGGGGGCCCCCCGCAGCTTAGCAAGACCCTGCCTCAAAATAACAGTTCATTAAAATGCTGAAGAGGTCGCTCGGTGGCAAAGCGCCCTGGGCTCTGTCCCCAGCACCAACACTTGGGGCTGCGGTCCCAGGTCCTGTTCAGAGACTGTCGAGCACTGCCAGCTCTGCGGTCCGGGAAGTCACCTCCGACAGAGAAACTGCTCTCTCAGCTCTGGGGACGTGACTTGGGAGGAGCACAGGCTTACACACGCAGGGCCTGTTGGGCACCCACCCCACAGTCACACTTGGTCACCCTCTCACACCCACACACAGTGTCTCTCACACACACAGTCTCACACACCCACCCACCCACACACACACACCCCGTGTCGGCTTCTCCTGGAGTTCCCACCTAGGACACGCTCTAGGTGGAATCTGAAATCTACTCGCCTATCAAAGCCCTTAGTCTGCGGGACAGAGGTGACGTGCCAAGACCCTGTCCACACAGTAAGCCTCCGAACACTAAAACGAGTGCCCTCCCCGCCACCCTGCCTGCAGGCTAGTCTGGTGGTGGTCGAGGTCAGCGCCATTCGGGTGACGCCGTGGCTGCCCTCCCGTCTCCTCATCCCAGCTGGCCGAGGGGGAGTGTCCTGGCTCGGGTGGCCCCAGGGACTGACGGTCCATTCTCCTCGCTGCCTCCAGGCTGTGGTGCTGCAGCATAACCAGCGAGGGCTGTGGCCACCTCTCCACGGTCCTCCGCCAAGGGTCCAGCCTGACGCAGCTGGACCTGGGGCTGAACCACGTTGGGGTCCCCGGCCTGAAGGCGCTCTGTGAGGCTCTGAAGGCACCACAGTGCGGCCTGCAGCGTCTGTGGTGAGTTCCTCCTTACTGTACCGTCCCGGCCGGGGAGGGAGGTGTCACCGGAGCGGGCGGCTCCGTGGGGATCCAGAGGTATCTTAAAAGTCACCAGGACGGTCGGGGGAATGGGCTCTAGTCTGCCAAAGGTCATCGGGAGGAACTTGGAAGCCGCGATGCTAGACATTGAGAAGCAGCCCCTGCTGCCCAGTCCTAGTGTCCAGAGAGGTGGGAACTGGCGGCACCTGTGGACACACCCCAGAGGCCAGCGAGTGGGTGCCCCTGGGGGCCACCTTACAGGTCCCGCCAGGGCTGGGTCCCCTCGGCCAGATACACAGGGGTCTCCACATGTGAGCGGGGCCTGTCCTGCCGCTCCTCTTGTCCCGTGTAGCGTCCTCCTGCTTCATCCAGTGCCCACAAATGCCAGGGCCGCTGCCTCCTGTGCCAACATCTCCTCTGCTGGGGACACCTGCGTGGTTTCCTACCTTGGCCATCGTCAGCTGTAAGGAAAACAGACGAGATGCAGAGGCAGACTGGCCAAGCGGCCAACTTGATTTCCACCAGGTCACTGGCATCTGGAGTGCCTTTGTTCATTGTGTCCTTAGGCAGTTCAGAGCTGGCAGCGGTACACAGCTGACTCCTCGGTTGGTACTAAGTTGCAGTGTGCAAGGTCAGGAGCTTGGTGCGGCTCCCAAGGCCACTGTTTAAAGTGACTGTTAGTGGACAGGTGCAGGTGCAGCGGGGCTTGGGGAAACCCTGGCTGTCTGACGAGAGCCCCTTTATTCCCGGGAGCCGAGTGTCAGATCAAGGTCGAGGCTGAGAAGACTGGCCCAGCTGCCTCAGCAGGGCGCTGCCCCAGCAGCCAGGCACCTGTGTCTGCGCCGACGCTCGAGCCACCAAGCAGGCCAGCCATGGAGCTCCCAGACCCCATCCCAAACAGAGCCCTCAGTCGGCACGGCTGCGGTGACGGGCATCTAAAAAGCCAGACTCACACCAGCAGGAGCAGGGTGGCCACTGAGGGAATGAGATGGAGTCTTAAACCAGGACTTTTGGGCACTCGGAGCCCACGGGATCTCTGGACGGATGATTTCACTCAGAACAGAATCCTCCAGTTGCTCTTTCCTCCTCTTCCAAGTCCAACCCACCCTGGAGCCCCGTTGCCCTCTTCCTGGTGTCTGGCCACACACCTCCCCAAACTGGTGGCACCTGGGGGTTACGTGCCCTCAAACAGGTCAGGTGTCTTTGCTTTCCACCCAAGCAAAAAGAATACCTGAGGTGTAGCTCCCACCCCGTCTCAGGGCCCGAGGGGGCACCCGTCTCAACCCAAGCAAGACCCGAGGATGATGGCAGCCTGGGCTCTGCCGAGCTGCCCTATACCTAATCCTCCCTGCCGTCCTGTCTGGTGCCTTGACCTTTGGTTTTGAGATCATCGTATGCAACCTCGGGGTTCAGAGGTTCAGCACAGCGCTTCTCTGCCCGGGAGCAGCTCCTCCAGGTCTCCACCCACTCAGGTCACCTTCAACCAGCCACTCGGCCACTACCGTCCTCACAGCCCCCCTGTGTACTATGTGCCACACTCTTCTCTCCCTTCTTAGGGGACAGGCCCTGATGCTTGATGCCCAGGGTCGGATCCCCAAGGCCCACCGGAGGCCTGAGGAGCACCGTCCAGGGTCTCACTTGCTCCTGTGTCCCCGCAGGCTGTGGGGCTGCTCCCTCACTCCCTTCAGCTGCCAGGACCTCTCCTACGCCCTCAGCTGCAACCGCAGCCTCGTCACCCTGGACCTGGGCCAGAACTCCCTGGGCTTCCAGGGAGTCAAGATGCTGTGTGACGCCTTGAGACTTCAGAACTGCCCCCTGCAGACGCTCAGGTACGGGCCCCGGCCCTGTCCCCCAGGTGGGGTTTGAGGTGAGACAGAAGCCTTAGGATTCCCTCATAGGGGCCCTTGCCCATATTCAGCTACCTGCCTGGGCAACTGGTCACCAGAGACCCTCCTGTTGACCCGTCCACTGTATTGGCCAGTCGGAGAGGAGACCAGCACTTGTGGGAGGCCAGGAAGCCAGGATTATGTGAGGGCGGGCTACAGAGGCCAGCCATCACCTCCTTGGGTCAGCCCTGGACGGAAGCTGTCCAGAGCGAGGCTGCCTCCAAGGTGCCCTCGCCGTCGGCGGCGCCAGCTTGCCCGCTGGGGGGAGCTGCCTTTGGCTCTGCGGTCGGCTTGTGGCAGGCCCCTGCGTAGGAGCTCTGGAAATGGCCGTGAAACGGGGAGGAAGCAGACTGCACGCTTACCTCACGGGAACCTCCACCCCGAGTCCCTGTCCGTGGTCAGGACCCGGGGGCCATAAGCCCTGCCTCCCCTACCAAGCACCCTCATGAGTCACCCCCCCACGGTCCCCGATGTCGGTGAGGTCCCCAAAAGGCAGCGTGGGCTGTTGCTTTGGACAGCCGGACGCGCCCTCCTGGGTCTTGGAGTTCCAGGACGGTGACCGGGTGAGGGCTTCTTGCTGGCTCCAGTCCTAGAGCCGCGTGAGCACCAGGCCCTGCCCCCCCAGAGCGTGGATTTGGGCCCTGAGATTCTATCGGCCACCCAACCTTCCAGTGACTCCCAGGTGGACTACTGACACCTTCTGTGCTGGACGCCAAAGATCCTGATGGCCACCCTGGTCTTCGGGTCCGCGGGTCTTGGACCTGCTTCTCGCTCGCCCCACGGGTGTGCAAGCCCTGGGTTTGGCTGGGGAGTTGGCTTTGTCCTCTAGGCGGACTGTGACTGAGCTCCCGCAATCACCCTTGACCTGGAGGGTCACCTCAGTCCACCCCCATGCTAGCTGGGCCTGCGGTAGCCAGAGTGCTTCAGGCTGCTGATGAGACACTGACCTAGCCAGCTTGAGGCCCCGCGGCCAGTCGTGAGCCCCAGCCCGAATCAACGATGTGCTGGCCAGGTGGGGCCTCCCTGCCAACAAGCAACCTGGCAGCGGACGCCTTCAGGGACCCCTGTCCCTCTGTCCCCACGTCTACCCTCACATGGTTGAGTGGGATTACCTCAGGGTGAATCCTAGAAATGAGGCAAAACCAGTGCGGTGGCCGAGGGGCTGGCCCAGACAAGAGGTGGTCACCTCGGTTGGTCCAAGGTGTATGTCCCTAGGGACAGGTGCTCCTGGGTCCACCAGGCAGGACAGGGGCTGGCAGGGGTCACTGAGGTGGCATCAGTTGTCACATGTGCCATTGGTGCCATCTCATGCCCACCGTGCCAGCACCGTCCAGGCACACACTGCTGCTGTCCACCCTGTGCCACTGCCTAATGACCTCTCCTGTGCAGCACAGACCCTTGGAGAGGGCGGCCAGGGCCTGTGGACCCCTCAAGCACAAGGCCCTCGGGCACTTGGGAATCAGGTGACCAGCGTTTTCTCCCGCTTCGTGCCCCAGGTTGAAAATAGAGGAATCCGACACAGACATCCAGAATCTCCTGAGAGAGATCAAAGAGAGCAACCCGCAGCTGGCCATCGACGGCAGCCGCCGCGACCCCCAGAGACACAGACCCTCTGCTGATGACTTCCTTTTCTGAACCTCCCTGCGCCCCAGAGTCCCCCTCCCAGAGTCATGGCCCTCAGGCTATCGGGTGCCTCCCGCAGCGGCTGGGCTGGGCGTCCCTGCGGCCCTCGCCTGCTCTGGTGTACACGAGCATGCGCAGTCGCTCACCCCGAGCTGCGGAGCGTTGGTGTCACGGTGTACGGTGTACGGTGTAGAGGGATAAAGGTGAAAGCATTCATGGCAGCTTTGTGTTGGTGGCTCTCGCCAGAGCAGGGAAGAACCGGGACCAGGCGAGGGGGCAGGGTCCTGTGCACGGGCTCCTGTGGCCCTGCTCCGCTCTGCTCGGATCCGCTGTCTGCTGGGGCTGGGGCTCAGGACTGGCCGCGGGGCCCTGAGCTGGCTAGGTCAGCTTCCGACCCCACAGTATCACAGGCACAGATTCCTCCGCACAATGCTGGGAATTCCAGTCCACACTAAAGATGTCTGGGGGCTGGGAATGTAGTCGGTGGTAAAGTGAGCGCTTCCGTGTGCAAGGCTCCCCCGAAAGTCACCCAGTCAAAACAGAACTGGAGTTCCACCCTTGATAAATGGCCAGTGGGTAAACAAATGCTGTGGCAAGAAGGTCACGTGACCTTGGAAGGACCTGAGGTGGTACTCGGCAGGGGAGCCCCACACAGTGACCTAGCGGGTGGGCAGGACTCGGTACTGTGAGCTACCCGTCGTTGGCGGCCACGTTAGCTGCTCTACCAAGAACCCAGGGAACTTGCCCTCCTGCCTTTGGGGACCAGCCTGTGGTAGCCACGTGCCGTGCTCTGCCGCCGTGGGCCCAGCACCTGGGGTCCACACACGGGGCCTGTGTGGGGTTCCTCTCTTTCTGGCTCATGTCACTCAGCAGTGTCCTCTAGGTTCAGCTGTGCCTCTGCAAATGACGGCTTTCCTGGGATTTTGGTTTGGGGCTGGAGGTCCAATGTGGGACCTCACACACCCAAGGCAAGAGCCCCACCGCTGACCCACGTCCTGGCCCCTCCTGGTTTTCTGAAAGCCAGACAGCACAGCACTGAGCCATGACAGTGCCCCCACTGTCCCCGCTGCTGCGCTCTCGTTGATGGCCGCCCTGCGGCTCCTCCTGTCTGGACGCCCCCTACCTCCAGGTCCATGCCTGGCTGGTGCTAGTCCATCAGGCTTCCTGCAAAGTGATGCTTCCTCCTAAAACTGCTGCCCCCACGGACTTGCCCAGCGGAAGCCGTGGGACGTCAAAACCACCTGCGTGCCCCTGACAGGCGGGCGAGGCGGCACAGCCCCCACAGCCTCGCAGTCCCCTCCTCCTCCCGCAGCTGCAGGAGCGGGGCCCTGTCATGGAAGACTCAGGCCACCTACCACTCGCCTGGGAAAGCACGGGATTCAGGACGTGACGTGGGGCTCCTGAGGGGCTGTCATTTCCACACACTGCGCACTGGGCTGTCCGCACAACCTGCCCAGTGAGCGACCCCTGATGCTCACCTCCTCAACCTCTCTGGAGTGCAGATCATCCCCTGGACGCCCCACCATGCCAGACGGAGGCTCCCCGGACCCACCTAACTCGGCCCACAAGCACTCTCCTGTCCTCAGGCTGCGGGTGCCCTTCTCCGCCTGAACCTGGGCTGTCACGGAACTGCCCGGTGGCGCTGCCTATCTGTGAATGGAAGGTGGAATTGCAAGCTTCTACTTTCCCATGGTGCACGTGGCTGACCTCACAGGTGAGACAGAGGGCACCCGGGTCATAAGGGACTCATGGGTCCATGAGGGCCGAGGTGTCCAGAAACCAGAGAAGGAAGAGCTGCCTGTGTCCAGGCCCCAGGGAGGAGGCCACTGTGGAGGACAGGCCGGGTGGCCAGAGGGCCGAGTCATCCACATCCTGGTCACCTGCCTGGATGGCTCTGGTCAGGACTCCTCTCCCCCAGCCTCTGGTCCAGGCTTGAGTTTGGGTATAAAACGCGGAGATGCCACGTGAACCTCCAGTCCCTCTCTGGCAGCGCCTGAGGCCAAACCCGACCAGGAGCATAGCTCACCCTCTGGGAAGTCACCCCCAGGGCCGGGTCCCCTGGCTCGAGGTTCCTTCTGTGGGAGCTGGAGCTCCGTGCATTCAGGGGTCGCGTCCCTGGAGGCTGGGGTGGATGTGGGCTGATGCGCTAGTCCACGATGCAGATTAGCAGGTCGGGTGTGGCAGGGAGGTGGGTCACTGGGGCGAGTCCTGGGGGGTGTGCTGGGTCCCTGGTGAATGGGGCATCTCCTGTGGCCCCGCCCTGAGTGGCTTTCCCCCTCTACACCTTCTGCCATGAGCTTCTCCCCCGCCTTGGGCCCAGAGCCACGGAGTCGGTCACCCGTGGACTGAGGCCTCTGGAACAGCCCCACATAAACTTCCCCCACCCCCGATTGCTCCTGTCCCGTGTTTTGGTCACAGTGCCAAAGCCGACTGAGACAAGGTAAAGTTCATATCACGTCAAGTTAACCTTCCCCTAGATCTATGTTTCACGGACATAAAAACACAGGAGTTGTGCGCGTCGACCACGTGACAGTCCAGCACGTGCGCACGCCGAGTGGTGCTCAAGGCAGAGGAAACGGCTGTCTCCTCCACGTTTCTTCATGGCAACGACATCCAGATCCCTCCTCCCGGCTTTCTGAGACATACAGCACACTGTATGTCTCACACACCTGCACGTCTTAAAGGCACCATGGTGGCATCTAGTACGTCACAGTGTGTGCCGCCGTCCCTCTGTTCCAGTTTTCAACTCTGTAAAGGACAACCCCACTCTGAAGCACTCCCCTCCCCGCTGTCCCCACCCCGAGGCACCAGTCAGGGCCCCTGTAGACCTTCAGGCTCTCTCCCTGCCCCCCAGACATGGGTGCCTTCCACAGATCCATTACCAGCAGTCAACCTCGTTCTGAAACATTAAATGGAAAATTCCAGAAACAGACCGCGGATAAGGTCAGGTCCTCTGTCACGGCATCACGGTGCTCATGGCCAAGTCACCGTGAGTTTCCCTAGCGGCTCCAAGGCACCAGAGTGTGTTCAGAGAAACATGATGCGTGGGCTCAGGCTCTGTCCGTGGTTTCAGTGTGGACACACAGGGTAAGGATGACCCCTCCTGGGGCTGGGGGGCACCGTGACTTTTATTGTATGCTAGTGACAATAAGAAGCGCATCCGACTGCCTGAAAGAACCAGGACCGTTCTAAAAACAGATTTATCAGACCACAGCTGAAGATGGGTGGGGTGGGGCCAACCTGAGGACAGGAGACAGGGAAGGCCGCGCACAGGGCGGACAGTGAGCCGTGAGTGGGGGATGGATGTGGAGCCCGTATTAGGAGGCCTGAGGGAAGGCCATCAGTGCCTGTCCAGGGACTTAGTGACCACAGGTGAAGGTGTCTAGGACACGCAGCCTCCACTGGACTCCTTGCAGCCAAGGGGACAGAGCCCAGTAGACACTGGCTCTGCGGCTCCCTGAAGAGGCCCAGCCTCCTCCCGCCCACAGCCTGGCCTCCCACTGGTCTCCGAGCTCCGCAGGCCTTCACACCATCTGGCTCTTGGACGCGGCCACACCAGGGTTCTGACGGAGGTGCTCCTCCTGACAGCCACGCTGGGTCTGTGGGAGGGGCGGGAGGGGCCTGTGCACGGGCTGGACCCTGGGCCGCGGGGCTCTCCTCTGACTGTGCCAGTCCTCTGCCACCACACCCAGCAGCAGAATGAGGACCACGGCACCGAGGCAGATCCGGACCAGGTTCCCCTGGGTGTGGTCCTGGCGGGCGAGACCTGGGGGAACGGTGGGGTCGGAGCAGGGGACAAGAGCCCATCCCCAGGACACCCCAGGCCCTATCTGGGCTTCTCACACTGCTACCTGATCTTGTGTGGACCTGTTATTCTCCACCCGCTGGGATGCCCAACTCCTTCCTAGGGCGCCACAACCAGTGTCGGGGCCGCGTAGGACAGACTGTCTCACCTCCCACACGTTCAGACAGGCGACTGTCACCTCCCCCGGGGCAGAAGAGAGCTACAAGGAATTTTTTCTCTCTCCAGCCCCTTCGAGAACCAGCCTTCCCTCCTGATCTGATCGCCCACTCTGAGCTCCTGCGCCTCCCTAATGTCCTTCCCACCAGCCCCAGGGGCAGCGCTCGGCTCCCACGCAGGGCAAGGGTCTGCTTTGGGCGAGAACAGGGAGAAGGGGCAGTCTGAGAGGACGGCTTACCAACTGGAGCGCTGGACCCCTCTGGAGAGACGGGGACGTTCCTGGACATGGCTAGGAATCAAAGCAGGCCAAGTGTGAGCAAATGGGACCTGCCCACCCCTGGAGAGGAACATGCTGCTGGGGAGGCAGAATCCGGGGCATTTGGGGAGGACAAGAACTACAGAGGCGGCCGCCCAGATGTGACCCCATGCCCAGCACCATGAGGCGTGGGAGCCCTGGCTGTGATGGCATTGCTCACACCACGTTCTGAGAGTTAGATCAACACAGACTGAGCTTCCCTAATGCAACATCCTGAATCCCGAGATTCGCACAGTTTGAAATTTTTGAGCACTGATGACACCCCAAGTGGAAAATCCCACGTGACAGGTCACGGTCAAAACACAGGGGCACAAAAAATGCTGTGTGGAACTGCCTTCAGGCCCCGTGTGTAGGGGCACGTGA